ATATACATACATATATCACGTTATGTAGGCCGTACCCAAGCATGGCAGGCGGAACGCACAATCTCGAAATGGCTGGGGGACAAGCGACCATGCTGTCATCATCGTCCATCCTGTCAACGTCAACAAATTGACGGCTCCGATTCGTCCTCTTCGGCGCAAGGGAGGAGGCCCAAGCTTAAGAGTCCGGTCCTGGTCGCTAGCAGCTAATGCCCAAGTGCACCCTCAGACTGGCTTCATTAGGTGAAGATCGGACGGCTGTGACAGCGTTTCGGCCATCTCAGAATTGTGCGTTCCGCCTGATGGGGCTTTTTCAAATTGTAGAATTCTCACAGGGGAATCTTTCACTTCTTTGCTCTGCTGATCCAGAGGGCTGCTGCCATGGCGAAGTGTTTGATTCAATCTCAAAGGCATTGAAGAAGGGCTGAAGGCTTTCCTTGTGAAAGAACGTCAAATACTTGAATATCTGCACAATGCGTGCTTTGTTCATTAGCGGGGTCCGTCGGTCCGGCATTCGTCATAGGCCATATATGCAGATTGAGGAAGTTTTTAGTCCAAAGTAGGTGGAGGAGGGTCCCCGCACAGCAATGGCAACTGCAGCTGTGACAACGTGTGCTCGACTGACTGTCGATGAGAGAGTGTGGTACGTGCTTGGGGAGTGGTCCAAAACGCACTTCACGATTCGTGTCTCAGATGGTGCGCAAGCTTGGGAAGGGCAAGGTAAGTATACCGACTTCTTCTGGGTGTTCTTTTGCTGAATGACCAGGAAGAAAGGACCTTGAATTCTAGAATGCAGGTTTGTTCCAAGCATCTTTTATCTACTTCTAAACCTATGGTGGTGTGAAAAAGTCTGCCTTCTGTTTTGCCCCAGTCGAAGAAGAATGCGGAAAGAGTGTAACAAGGGGTGCCATTTCTATGCCTCAAAGTAGGATCCGAATTTGGCTGTTTGTGAGTGCCTCGTGATGAATCAAAGACTGTGCGCCATTTCAGCATTTTCTCTGCTGCCATAGAAAGTTGATTTCATCCGGGGGAAGGAAGAGCACCCTTTTCTGAGTCTGCACCTACCTTGTCATCCTCAATTATGTGGTTGAGTCTGAGCATGTTAGCGGTGATTCCCAATTGTAATAGCTAAGTCAAAGACAGCCAGTGAGTCCTTCACATTCTGGAGTTTGAACTGCCTCCCCGCCCCAACCATATCACGACACCTGGATCTTTTAGCTACGACCACTAGCAGGTTGCTTGGACCATCACTGTTATTGATACAAGCAGCTACAGAGCCATGTCAAAGGGTGCACAATAGTGGGCTTGGACGAACGTTGTGATCTATACCACCTTTGCAAACTCTGAATCAAGCTGCTCTTCTTTCCCTGTGCAGTCTCTGCTGATGAGGTCGAGAAAAGGGCAAACCGGTGGGACTGGACTCCTCTGAAGTACGTTGATGCTGCGGTGGAACATTTGAGGGAACAGCAGGAGGAAGCAAAGGCGTCGTACCAAGTGACCGAGAAGGATGCCAGAACTTTACAGGTGAACATATTGCAGGGGCGTTTTGATGTTCCCCCATCAATCGTTATTGTCAAACGAAGATGCGCTCTCTGCTGGATGCAGAGGTTTTGATATCAAAACTCTGAGAAGGGTTCATCGTTACAGATTGGGGAGACGTATTAATCGGCTAGGAAACATAGTTATGGGTGGATGAGGACGCTTGTGGTTCGTCCTTTCCTGGTCTGCTTTCGCCCTTGGAGCATTGTTCCCTTCTTCCAGGATCATACCTTGGCTGTCCAGAATCCCGTGTGAGTGATATGTCGCTGTACGTACTTGTATCATGCTCGCAACTATAATAGTTCAAAGAGCAACTGTCCTCGTTGACAAGCTGTCACCCTGGAGGACTGGAATCCAGGTCAATTATTACAAGGTTCTCCAAAAGGTGGATAAGAAGGCGCCTAGTCTTGGTACTCAGACTTGTAGGTCAGAGTTTTTGACTGAAAGAGAGGTTCTTCTTTTTGATAGTGCCAGAGGGCGCGGTCACTTTGACCTTGACACAACTTTTCAGAGTTGCCCTAGATTTCGTAATCATCCGCAGGGTGTAAGACTTCAATTTTGGCTCCTTGCTGCTTTGGACAGATCTTCAGATGGATCTGACTTCTTGACATGATCGTCCAAGCTACACTTAGCTCACTAAAAGAGTCTGGTATTCCGAGACCAGCTCAACATTCTACTTGGCGTCAAGTCAAGCTCACAATGTTCTTTTTGGTCTGCTGCAGCTGGCCTGGGAAATGAAGCAAGCAGGCGAAGAAGGGGTCCCGCTGCGTGGGCTGGTCAATCTCGAGAAGACGGACGACCCTGGGGCTGTCCTGCGCTTGATGATGGACTACATGCACAGGAAACGTGCGCAGCTAGAGGTGCGCCAAGCTTTCTCTCGCGACTTTCCACTGCATGTCAGATGACGACAGTACTTCGGGGCAGGGAATGTGTGGATGCTTGGAGAGGGGAATCATATCCGCAGACTGGTCTCTTTTCGACGCCCTGCTATCTGCTACGAAAAAGACGTCCTTGAACAAGAGACACGGCTGGCCATCCAGTCCCTGACTGGTCGGCTAGTCCGCTTACATAACAGAGGGTTGCAATGTGCCAATCGTCGTCAGATCCGGTCGGGTGGCACTTGCTTTTTGCGTGGCATTGTGAATCACAACGTTTGCCACCTTCTTAAGCGAGACAGAGACGGTCAGTACTTTGATCGTGCCTATCCAATACACCCTCTAGAGAGGCGACCTCCTTTTGGCGAAGTTTCGAGCGTCTTCTCTAGTCTCGTCGCAGCACTGACAGCTTGGTAGGATTCTCAGTACTGCGAGTGGAAGCAATGTAAGGACGTCGAACAAGCTTCGAGCACCGAACTGTCCGTAGATAGACCACTTTCTCAAGCACGACGTCGCGCCTTCCTTGCTCCGCTGGGGAGTTTTCAGCGAAAAGCCGATGTCCAAATTCACGTTCTCTCCCGGCACTTTGTGAAAGCTGGGTGACGGTTTACAGATCAAGACAGATCTGGGGTAGCCAGCCATAATCCCCAGTCATGCGCGCTTACCCGTAAGACCATCCTTTAGCTCCTTCTAAACCATTCCGCAGATGGAACTGTCTCGAAAGACACGTGCCTTCCGGAACATGAAGGAGGAGGCGGACAAGTGCGCCAACCAGGCGCGGGGCTTCGCTGAAGAGAAAGCGCATCTCGAGTCGGACTTGTACCAAAAGGTAGGCTGTGATTTCAGAGTGCTTTTCAGCTGTTTGATCAGATGACTAAACGCGATGTTCGGCAGCCCTAAGAGTCTGCGTATCAGTGGGAGATGCAGTGCATTTGTACGTCGATCCAGCCAGTGCTGGCTGCCGCTTTTTGCTCCTCAGTCAAGAGGAACCTGAGTTTACGTCATTCCAGCACAAGTACCACTTACTCTGTCGATCATCAAGAAACTTGACATGTCATTGCTCTGCCCTACGGATGAAACCCTGTCGGAACTTTGTCCGCTCGGATGAGCAACATTTTTGTTCTTCGAAGAAGCGTACGTTCAATCTGGTTTCACACGTGCCTGGTAGCACTTCCAGAGACAGACCTTCACATTCACGTTCCATGCAGTTTGCCGCCGTGCTCAACGCCAAAAAGGCCAAGATCCGAGAGCTCAAGAGCCAGCTAGGCGATGGTAGGCCTTTGGCAATAATGCCGGCTGCCGACGAGTCGGATGAGGGGGAGGCGACGGGGAATGAAGCGAGCGGGGGAGAAGACGACCTAGAAGAAGAGGAAGAAGAAAGGAATCAGGACCGGGGGGGTTCTGGTGGCCGAAGCGAGGAGGATCGAGGAGAGCGAACGGAAGTTGAGGGAATGGACAGGGACGGGGGGGCGACTGTGATGGAGGAAGATGTGAAGCCGTCTGTGAATGGGAGAGGGCAAAATGGACGGCAAGCAGACAAAGATGAGGAGAAAGGAAAAGGGAGGGAAAGCAAAGAAGAGTCGATAGAGCGACAAGATGATAGGAAGCCGCAAGGGAATGTAGGAAGCGCTCTTCTTGGAGGAGGGTCAACGTATACCAGCGGTCCAAGGAAACGACGGCGGTGATATCTTTGTCAAGGAGACGACTAAGACATGGACTGGTCGACTTCAGGTTGCAAATGCAATTTTTTTTTGCTATTTGCCATATCATCCAACCGTTTACGATTCAGATAGTGAATTGTGGCGGCCCGTTAAGCTCGATCAACCCACATAGACCAAAATGGATCTGTCCAGATATTCTAATGCGCTGCAAACGAGTAATGGCATGATGTGCGCAATCTGCAAAACTGGATCATCGGGCCTCAAGTGCGGTGCGGCCAGGCCTTGCAGGTTATGCATGGATATTCACGCATACATGGCAATCGCCCATGCAATTGTGAGATCTGTGTGCACGTGAGACGTGGTCAGATTTGTCGCGCGACCGTGAGTCCACTAATTGCAGACGCATGACCGGCGGCGGCGGCTTGATTGATTAAGTTGAGTCAACTTGAAGCTCGGCCGCGGCGCGGCTAGCCGAGTCAGTTCTAAGTTCAATGCCTTGCATGGCCCCGGCCAGCCCGGCCGTGGGCGGCGTCGGGTGGCCGGCCGCCGCGCGCCGCCTAGGTTTTTAGTAGGTTTCAGGGTTTAGGCGTGCGGCGCGCCCCACGCGAGTTCAAGTGGCAGCGCACCGAAATGACCGTCCGTTACCTTCTCAGATGCTCATCGACGGTGTCCACTTCGCGCGCAATCGACCATCAATGGAATCGGATCAACCGACGGTTAATAACTTACCGTACTTCGACGCGACGACGCGACGTATGTACCTATCGTAGGCACACTGCTGCACAAATTTAATGGAAGGGACCAGCCTCTACATACCGTAGGTAGTGACCGATCCTTATTTGTATCTGGACTGTGCAGCCTGTTGTGCAGTCTTCTCTAGAATCTTGAATAGGGATAAACTTTAATAGTAATAACATAATAAGGAACTTAAGGTACACGAGTACGGGTGGGCTTAGTTTGGTGGTTAGGGTGGGTTCGGGTGCGGAGCATGTCATTTTGTCCTTAGGGTTTTAGTTTTGGTTAGGCCGAGAAATCAAGTACTTTCAGTACCTAAGATCCTTATTAGGTACTATTAAAGTTTATGGTTATATGCATAATATGGATAGTGCACGGCAGGTACCTAGTTCAGCTAGCGCTAGTCTAGCGTCCCTTCAGATTCTCCAAGATTCAGTCAACGGAGGCGATCAAGAGCCTCATCCAAATGGTCTTAGATGACCTTGGATCAGCATCTTATGTTGATCATCGACGGACCCAGCTCACTCCCGCTCATTTCCGTCTGTCAATCGTTCACTTTATTCAAATGCAGGATGCACAATCATGCCATGATGCTTTTCGGACTCGCCTTTCCTAGTACTCAGGCTCTTGGGATTTGACATTCCTTGCGTTTACGTGAGATGGGCAGTCATCGATTAGATCAGAAGCGGCAGCAGACTTCAGACCCACACACTTTGTGACGTCAGTGGTTCAATCAGCTTATTCCTGGATGCAATGCAGCCTGCCATGTCAAACGATAAAGCCCAGACTCCAGCATTACGACAGATGGGCAGAAGGTCACAAGTTGCATATTCCGGTCCTGGCGCCCAAAGAAATTAGTCTTCCGAGTATCAGACTTGCCACAGAGTTAAATGCCGTGACACCACCCGTGAGGCTCGCCGTCTAAAGGCGTGTGCATAGGTACTAACAACCCCTTTGTGCTTCTATAAGCGCTGGGTCTCTGTGCAATGCCGCTAAGACAGCAAGGCTAACCGTACTTCTCCCTAGTGGCGAAGGGCTTGAGGGCTCCGCATTGCTGCATGCAACACGCAATCTGCCACACATAGAAAGGGTCAGTGCGCTACAGTACTTTAGGTTTGTAAAAGGACGCAGAAACCACTGTTACAGCCCCTTATTGGAACCCCTCTCCAATGCAGTAAAGCCTTTCTGCAGGGAGGCTAGAGCCGCCCCATTGTATCAAGCAACTATGGGGCCAAGGACGGCCATTTCTTGCTTGTACGTATTGGTGTATTTGGTTTCTGGGCGGAGCGCATTCGCCGGATTAGATGGAGAAGCGGCAGAAGGGCATCTGGGTTGGGATGGCGTCAGCACCAGCGGGGCTGACGGCATTGCTGACGCAAGCCACCCACTGGAGCCATTGCCAGTGCTGCCCCTAGGTACAGAGGGACGGGAACCTTTGGCTCCAAAGTAGTATCCGAAGTCAAAAATAGCAATCGGCGCACCAAGTTTTTTCAAGGAGTGACATGCTTCAGGGTCATTACAGACGCTCTAAGGAAAAAAGGCAATGATCGATGCACTCGCATCTGGAGAAGGCTCAAAAACTATTTCCAAGCTGATCTCAACTAAAGACAAGGCAATCGATCAAGGACTGTTTACCTGCCTTTGATTTAAATGCTACTTATCAATCAACACCATGACTAGATGCAAGGAACGGAGTCAGCAAGCTCGATTAGAATGTATGTGGTGATGACCGGAATTTTCGTATTCGTCCAAAGCCTTTGCTTGTATGAGACGTCCTTGATCGTACTGCTCTGCGAGACGTCACTTCGAATCCCAAACCTGGGAATCCTGACCTTGTTCCAACTCCTCGAACTTAAGAGATCGTAACTCCTCTCGTATCACTTCTTTGAAGCACAGCAACAAGAGCTTGCTTCGTCAACAACCAATTTAATCCTCAGACTCATGTCAATCAAAGCAGGTCACTAGACGACTCCCCGTCGGCCCTGTAGCTGTTCAAAATGGTAGTTTCCAAGAGGACATTCTCGCCCAACTGGGCGGTTGGCCTCAGCCCGAGGGACAAACCGCGGTTCTCGGCACTTCTGATGAAGGAGATTCGCTGCTTATTGCAGGAATCAGTGTGGAGGGAGACGAACTGGTCGCATCCTGGATACCTGGAGTTGACAGCAGTTTCGAGTTGCCTGACCAGGCTCAGGTACGAGACCCCTTAGTCTTCAGCTCTCTCTAGTGTGGACTCAACTTCCATATCCAATAAACCCTCTGAAAAGGTTAGGAATGGATGCATGATTGAAGTGCGGGCGAGCTTCGACTGGCACCCTTATGGTCGACTCAAGAAAGTTGATTTCTTTGCACTCGCAAGAGCTACCGCAGGTGTAGCAGCGAGTTCTGTTTGTTGAGAAGAGACCGCTGGCTCGCTGCCCAAAATGCTTCCAGACTCGTGTACGCATCACCTGATCAATAACAGGTCACGATGTGATAGCTGCACGTCGGTCCGTTCAACTCGGATTCCAGTTGGCAGCGAAACAAGCTGGGACCCACGCGTTTTGTTCAGTGCAGTGAAATTTCTGCATGATGGTTAAGAATATCATTTGACTTTTTCCTTCTTTCAGGACGACGCAACCCCCTCGCGCGCCCACCCCACCAACCGGAGGTTCCTCTCACAAACCTCTCACACGTGCGCGGCCATCCAGACCGCTGCCACGTGGCAGCTCCAGAACGGCGGGGGCGAGGTCACTCTCGATCCTGTGGAGTACGACTGTTCGGTTGGGGGCCCAGTCAGAGTTCCAGGCTCGGTCGGGGTCACCTTTAGAGGCTCCTGCGTATGGGCGGGAAATAAGAAAGTGTGCACTACGGTGAATGGCTGGGCGCAGGCGCCGCTCTTCGAATTGGGCGCGGGGGTTTACGGGTTCAAGAGCATCGTATTTACGGTGAGAGAAAATCCCTAGCTTTGTCTCCTCGACCGTTAAGTGGATCCGAACCTGGGCGATATTTGGCATTAAAGGGCACCCTGTACACAGCAGTTTTGCAGCGCATTGTTATGTAACCTGGAGTGTAAAACCAGATTATCTGTCTTAGTGAACTCTGCTTTCCGGTTGTACTCCTCCTTGAAGAGGGGGTTCCTCCAGCTGCAATGTGACGAGCCAAAGTCCCTCTTGCTCTACGAAGCGAGAAGCGGGGGGTCAGAAGCAGGGCGTCCCCACCACTCGGCAGTGCATCGCTTGCTAAGTCTTCCTTGTAAATCTAACTCTTTCAGTAAATCAGTACAATCCGAATACAGGTTCACGGAGATGTGAGCTAGCTCCCCAACCCGAGCTTAACACACCTCAATCAACAATCTAGGGGACCCTGAAAGCAAAGATGAAAAAGCGTTCTAAAAGCATCCCCCGTCTTCTTCAGCAATCTCGGGGCACAGCTCTCCGCTCCTCCGGCAACCTGTGCATCAGCAACTGCACGTTCATTAACAACTCGGGCGCCAACGGCGGCGCCATTTCGACCGCCGGGGCCCTTATGCTGTCCGCCAGTACCTTCCAGAACAACTACGCGGTGCGCCCCCGCTGCAAATCTTGCCGCATCTTACTGATAACTAAGTCTAGGAACAAGTGGAACTTAAACGGGGTTTAAACTCTGCGTCGACAGCGGAAGCCACGAATGGAAGTGTCAAAACCGTATCAAGAATCACTCCGCAAGATACATACGTTGCGAACACTATTGTGTGCCCTGCGTTACGTTTTGTGATGTGAAGTGCAGAGGTTTGTTACAATTCTCCGGCAATTAGGCTTCCTTCGCAGTGTCAACTCTCAGCTTGCATCGCTTCCCACGAGCTACACCGTACACGTGTCAAGCAGCGAGCTCACCTGACTTGTCCCGCAGAGCAACGTGGGCGGTGCGATCTACGCCCCCAGCGGCCGCGTCTCCATCAGCGGCAGCACTTTCACGAGCAACTTCGCAGTAAGCTATTTATGCTTTTCGAAAAACGGGCATGGTGAAATTCGATCAACTCTGAGCGTCCCAACTTAGCACTATCTACGTGTCACTACTTGTGTGAACGGGGGCAAGTTTCGAAGTGTGCCACGACATTGATGCGCTTGGTTTGCTTTCTTTCGTAAAGTTGCGATCTAGATTGCCAGCCACGTGAAGACAAATCCACAGCCTCTATGGCAGGCCCGCGTAACCCGGGCACGAAGTGGGTCGCTCCAGCAGTTTCACATTCCTAAAAGGTCTGCACTGGAAAGCCCTGACAGTCTTGCAATTTATTGTTCTCTACAGAACGCAACCGGTGGGGCCCTTTACGCCTACTCGAGGACAAGCCTCAGCATCCAAGGGTGCACTATCACAAACAACGCAGCCCTGGTAAGGTTTATCTGTCGCTCCGCTCAGCCCGATGTAAATGAGGTCCCTTGGTTCTCGCGTGTTTTGATCTTACCGGCTCACGCTCTCTGCTTTAGCCCGGCATCTACACGGATCGTCATTCTTGTTCTTTTTCGCCTTCCGCTATGAATCGCGGTACGTTTTTCTCTTGGCAACTCCGCTGGAAAGTTCTCACATCAGATTCGGAGTTGATGTGCATTCTCCGGATCGAAGAGAAGATGGTTGCAGACATCAAACGTGCACGTCTCGCTTGTTCCAGGGGTCTGGCGGGGCGGTCACGACCTTCGGTGCCGTCGACGTCACCGACACGTCATTCACAGGCAACACGGCACTGGTAAGCGGCTGCTCGCATTCCTCCGCCGCGCCGCTTCCTTCAAAGAAAAGCACTGCGTGTCATTCAGGGACAAGGTTCGTTACAGTACCATGCTTAACACATCTAGGATTCTCCCTGGCGGTACGGATTGGATCCTTTTGCGGCTGATAAATCTTCTCTTCTTTTGTCCTTTAGACTGCATCCGGAGGCGCAGTGGCAGTCAGCGGGGGCGGCCCGGCCACGTTCCTCCGCACCAGCTTCGTCCGAAACGCGGCGCCGGTGCGTTATTTTCATTTTGTTCCGCATTATATCCTGAAAAATAACCATTCTGTTTTTGATTAACAACAGAGCCTAGGCTGCTTGAAATCCTTTCGTCGTTTCCTTGACTCCAGCAATCAAAGCGATAGTGATTGGATGCCCTATCCAGATTCAAATTGCAGGAGATTTGCGGCAGTACAACCCGTCATCTGGGAATGTTCCGTTTCCAATGAAGACACAATTCTCCGCAGATGCAATACGGCGGGGCGTTGTACAGCTACGGTGGACCCCATGCCCTTGAAAGCGTTTCCTTCCAGGGCAACAGCGCCCAGGTAGAGCGATATCAATTTTCAAATCTCTCCATTCTTTTACTCGTCTTCTTTTGAAGATTCTGGTCAGGGAAGGCAATCTGCAACACCGATTCAAGCCGGAACGGATTCGGCTCTTGATTTTCTTTCCGGCTTATAGGAAAGAAAGGTTTTCTGGACCCCTTGCAACATTTACTCGCCGATTTGACGCGATTGCACAGCCGTTAAAGCACATCTCCGTTCCTGTCGGACGAGGCGTTTTTGGGACTACTCACTGAAGGCTCGTAAAGTATCGAATTTGTGGCCTTCCATCCTTTACCCGGCTTCTGAGATTCGCTTTTCCTCCTCAGATGGGCGGCAGCGATTGATAGCCTTTGCAGAGAGCTCAAAAGGGTTTTGAAGTTGGGAGGTTCATCCAGTACGCGAGCCGCTCGTAAAGATGCTCACTTTTTCCCAGGCGGGCGACGTCATCTGGGCGCGCTTGCTAAAAGCTCACAGACTTCCAAAATTACCTTTGAACTTGGAGTCCTTGTTTCTACTCGGGCCGTCCACTGAAATGCTCAGGATTCCGCAGGGGGGCGGCGCCATTTTCTTGACGGGGAAGGCGCTGACCTGCAAAGACTGTACGGTGGGCCAGAACTCGGCGTCTTATGGGCCCCTATACGTGAGTTCCATAATTCAGGATCTCACCGATCTAGAATGTCTTCTTTTCTCACTTTGCCCGAGGCGCTACCGATTGCAGCTCCACAGTTTTCAAGCTGCCGAGCTGTCCTTGTGACTAGATCTTGTGGAATCTGATGCGAGGACCCCAGCCGTTCCGTGCTTGTGTAGGCGGAAAGCTTTCATCTTCTTATCCTAGGTTGCTGCTTTGCAACGGTGATGAGGGGATCCCGCTCGCTTGATCCAGGACAACGATCCTGACACCCCTGTTCCGCACTAAAACCTCGGACGCTTTGTCATACAGGGCTCGTTCATGTACTACTCGAAGGGAACAGAGCCAGCGGCGTTCTGCAACGTGACGCTCCAGGCAAGCCTTTCCGCGCCAAACTTGAAAGCCACACTCGCATTCAAACCCGCCGACTTCGCTTAACCAATTCTAGTAGTTCTGCTCCTTGATGTGAAAATGGGCGTGCAGAATGGTGAATGAGATTTGTCATAAGTGCCCACTTTCTTGAGGCTCTTCTTGCGATTCTGAGGCTGGCTTACAAGAGACAGGTTCGGCTGCTTTGACGGTTCGCAATTCATTCATTAAAATATCAAAGTGCGTTTACTTCTGACTTCAGGACGGGCAGCAGAGTTTCAGCGGGGCCAACATCGGCACGTGCGGATTCAGCGGACCAAACGTGAGTCTCAACTCGAAGGCTGTAGCTAGCATCCGTACGGACAGCGAGAAGTCTGATTCAGCTTGCTAGAAAGCACCCTTCTATCTTTCTTCTGAAATGGCTATAGAGAGCGAGGTTACTTAAAGAAAGAGTCAGATTTTGCCCAGCACTGAATGAAGCGGCGGGAAGGGATGCAAAAAGTTTCGCGAGTAGAGACGAATCTGAGCCACGTGTTCCACGTGATGCAGGTGCCTTCCGGTTTGAATGTGCTGCCGGACGGTAAGCAGCCTCTCCCTACGAAAAGTATCGCTCTTAAAACTTCGACACGAACGCCAGCGAAACAGTTCGGATGGGCGCAAAAGACAAACCTTGTTCACAAACGAGCACTGACTTTGCTCGAAGTGCTCCTAGCAGTTAAGAGAACATCTCGAAGTGAATCGAAGTGTGGATGCAGTTGTGAATACGAAACCAGTCAAAAGGTCCGCTAGCGTGTGCATAGTCTCTCGACATTTTCTCATCGTCTCTGATCGGCCCGTCTCCTTTTGGTTACTTAGGGTGCTCGGTCGCCTGCCCGATCGTCTCCGAGCCTCAAGCGGCGCAAATCTGTGCAGCAACGCTCTTCCCTCCGACAAGGTGCCGACTCCGTCCTCTCAAGGCTCTTGTTATTTTCCTAAACCAGGAGAGGCGGAAAGTAAGAGCAGAAAGCGAAAATTCCTACTTCGATCTAGAATCATCTGCAACTGGAGGCCCTCTTGTACTCTGGCCGTTCCTTTGATGGTCCAAAGGCATCATCGCTGTTATAAGATTCTCGAAGCCACCAACTCCGGCTAATACCTTGTCTTCGAAGTGCAAACGAAGTGTTGTGTTTGACACCACTTTTCTTGTCCGTATTTCCAGCTCAACCCCCTCCCCGACTCCGACTCGGACTTCCGTCCCAAGCCCTGTTCCACTTGGCACTTCTCCAAGCACCAAACCGGGATTGGTTATCCCTACCGACGCTTCCTCCTTAAACCCGGGGTTCTGCCCGTCCGAATACAACACGTGTCAGACGCCGCAGTATCCACGTAGCCGCTTCTGCTGCCTGGCACGTGACGGCCTCTCGTGCTGCCACAACAGCGCCTCCGACCCCAAGTGCTGCCTCTTCGGCGGCAACCAGCAGGTCGACCTGACCCCGGTTTTTTTAACCACCCCTAACCCAGACGCAACGCCAGCTGTCACAATCCCCCCGGTTCTTTCCCCCGAGCCCTCCGCTTCTCCTTCCCCCCGGCCCTTTCCCTCGGCGACCCCGTCCCCCTCTCCGTCCGTGAGCCGGTCGCCCTCGCCCTCGCCCCGCCCCGCGCGCTCCCCCGGCGCGTCGCCCTCGCCGAGCCCTAAACCCTCGCCCGCGGGCGCGACCGCGGCGCCCATGAGCTACGACCCGGTTCTGCGCCCCAACCGGTGCTACACGGCCGATGGCCTGACCGAGTTTGCGTGCGAGGGAGCCACCCCCCAGTGCTGCGCTACGGACGCTGCGCCGAAGTGTTGCGCCTGTGCCGCTGGCCAGTGCTGAGCATATTCTGTTGTTTCCGATCATGTCGATTTAGTGTCACCAGCCCGTCAAACTGAAGGCGCCAGTTTGCGCCGGCTTCCAAAATGGAGTGTGTCCGACATACGAGGGCCCCGGGGTGATGATCCAGATTGGCGGCCAATTAACGAACGAAAGCAGGTCGATCATCACGTTAGGTGGTGTACAGAAATAGTCTTTAGAGTGTGCGAAAACCGAACAGATTCTGAACAATCTACAGGAACCGCTACCGACTGCTATATACTGCTAAGAGAAGGAACAGCACGGTGAGGTTTTTGAAATCTCCAGTGTTGACAGACAGTGCAAACGTACTGAACGGCATACTGACGTAATGGCTAACTAGGACCGCGGACTGAAAAAGATACTGGACGGCGTGTGCGTACAGAGTTGCTTACAAAGTTCGATACTCAAGCCCGCAGGGCTAGGACTGGACTGATTGCACTCAAGCGGCTTTTCGTTCCCACTACAGAAGCGAGACGCTTACGGCTGCCTCAAGTAATTATTTGCAACATTAAGGAGGCGCAGGCCGATTGCCATGCAGAAAGCCCGGCCTTGCTCGGTGCGAACCGTCATTAAAGTTCCAGCTCAACACCGGTGAACTTTTCAGGATGCAGCTAAGATATTCATATGCAGCCAGAACGATTGTACCAATTAAGTCGACAATTCGTGCATCTGGGTCAAAACTTGACGGTTCAATCGCAGCGATTTGCGTGAACGGTTCATGCACATCATGGCATACGACCGACGTACGTACGTCAAGGAATCAAGGACCATGACGTGCCAAGCTAGATATAGATATATGGGTTTCATTTACGGTCGTCGATCCAGTTAATAGGCGCCGCCTCATTGGGATTTTTTTTGGCTATGATCGCGAACCTGGCGTGCACAGTGTGCCTGGCCGGGGCGGCCCTACGTCTTCAGACCATTGTATACATAGACGGACATGCATTTACTGCCTGATATTTGGGGTGACTGATCATGCAAGCTGCACTTACTAGACCGATCATTCTGTTGTGAAGCTTTGGGCCCGCAGCCTGGATCAGCCGGCCCGGCCCTGGCATGTTGATTCCTATGCATGTGCTCAGCGGTTATGACGGTTAGCGCGTTGCACCAAAACGTGCTTGCGTGTGAACAGTAGTGGACGCGGGTCCAGCCGTCGGCTCACTGAGTCCTATCAGATCAGTCGTGGATTGAGATAGACGAACACGACAATGCTCATCATCGCCTGTCTGTAAGTCGATTCAGAGTCTTTGTGCGGCGTGCTTTGTGTGTATGACTTTCGAACTTCTACTCTACAGCCGAGTTATGCTACAGGAACGGATGATTCACAGAGATACACCTGTACAGATTGCTAGATCCAATCTGACTGTCGATTTAAACTGAGCAACGCGCGTCCACCATCCCTGCTGTCCTAGCAAGCCCGGATCTCGTACAATTTTCGACCGACTACTTGGTGAAATCTCTCCTACAAGTCCCACTTCTAAAGCGTGCATTTCCCCTTCGACGAGAGCCAGAGCACCAGCTCTCGTGCTGTCGACTTCCGCGACTCGATCCAAAGAAGAATGGACAGTATATACAAATCTCGGCAACTCTGCGTGGCCTGTTTCCAAATCACCATGTGTGTCGATATCTGACCATGCCCCGTCTATTTTCGAATCCAACGCATCCCACGACACTGCATACAGCTGCTTTTCAACCGCAGCAAGACCCACAACGGTTTTTCCACCGCGTGACTCGTCTCCGACGTCACTCCACGAGCCACTGCTTTCGTCGTACGTCTTGACGCGGTGCCGACGTCCGAGGCTGTCCGAGGCGACGATCCGGCCGTTGAACACCGCGAGATGCTCCGGAGGTTCGCTGCTGAACCACATACCGCCCACCTGACGAAAGAGCAAATCATAATGTTCTAGAGCGTTTCCACAATCTGCTCTTTTGTGCAGTGCCGGATATAGCTCACGCTTCCGATGCATTCGCAAAAGATACATGTACGTGCTTCGGGGGCTCGCTGCATGCTGCCGACCTGACGGGAGTCAAGAGTCTTGTCATTACTCTTATGACTGGTTCTGTCTAGGAAGCGTCCGCAAGATAGGGTGGGAGTCGATATTTGTGTAAGGAAAATTGAAGCTTAGTGCTTGCATTTACTGCTAGACGAGATGCTGCCTGACTGACGGAAGGTGTTCACCTATCCACGTATAAGCTCACATTGAGTACGGTATATTGTCCCGGTTAGTTGGTCCTAGGGAACTTTTGGATGGTCTAAAATTTGCGATGTCGAACAAAGTCCCGGTAAGTGCTCGAAACTCGGCTCTGAACAAACTCCTCACCTCACTCGAAAGCAAGGGGCAATTTGAGTGCGACCGTCCTTCCTGAAGTAGTCCTTTAACGTGGTTCGTCTCCAGTCCCTGTGTCAGTCACTTGGGTTGCTGATATAGATACATAAGAAACTGCTTTGCGATGCTCACATCAAGTGAAACAGACAGGTCAGGATTCTGAAAGCGGACCAAAAAGATTGTCTGGCGTGAAGAAAAGACAAAGGTACATATGACGAACTGGGGAATCCCACTAATTCGATGCCGCTCGAATCCACAAAAGAGGGAAACCGTAGCACAAGAGGAGGACAAGGAAAGAACGGACGTGGATCCAAGATAGCAACTCACCGTGGACCAGGTGCCATCTTTCAAGTCCAACACCGCCGCCGATTGGTGCAAATTCAAGAACGCGTTATCGATGCCGCCCCTCCGCCCCGAGACAGCCCAGAAGCGCCCCTCGATCGCCGCTCCCAGGCAGTCCTTCCGTGCCAAGCTCATGGGCGGAAGGGCTTCCCAGCGGAATCCGTCGATCTCGCCCGGCAGGCACAGGTCGAGGACTTCCGCGTCGCAGAGGGGCCGGCCCGCTAGATCCGAGCCCCCAGCAACAATGATCTGCAACACAGGGACGCCTATTCATCTCATAGCATCATGTTCGTGTCACCATATCTCCGAAGGCAATTGTGATGATTTCAAAGACAACACCAATACGAACCCTCTTCTTGGAGTACGGGTCCGTCTGAAGATGCATTTCAACTGTCAAAGACACTGCGGCTTTTTGCATGGAGTATATCTCCGGCAGAAGTCGATTCAGAGACGAGTAATGAAATGAATGCAGGTTGCGGAAAAAGATGGTGTAAAGCCCCTCGCACAAGCTGCTAGCCGCTGAACTCGACGGTATCAGACGGACAGGAAGACGGACTGTGCCAATAACCCCAACTCGACAAGCTTATTGTCAGACTTATAAATGCGAAACATGTGCGTGTTCGAGGGCATGTCAATGGTGCACTGATGTGCAAACAGGGAGACAAAGAAATGCGAGGTGTTTCAGGTCGCCGTTCCTAAAAGCACCGCCGTACCGATGATACTCTTGACTCGTAATCACGAGTGCACCTAGGCGCTAGAAGGTAGAAAACTTCTGGCGCAGACTCTAACGCTTCACCATGAAACGACCGCACTCACGGTTTTGACCAGATTCCCCCATATAACTTCAGCGCTTTGTCCTCTACGCAAACTGACGGATGCATTCACTCCATCCTTGATTCTCAAACCTACCGACCAATGAACTCCTGATCAAAGCCTCACCTTATTCCCGACCAAGGCGCACGCAAACCTTCCCCTCCGAGCGGTCAGCATGGGCGGCCCTGGCCGCCACGTGGAAGTGGTGGATTGAAACACCCACACCTCTCTAGTTGCGGCCAGTTTCTGGACCCACGCTCCGCTTGAGGCGCCCAGGAAGCTGACGGGCTCCCACACGCTTCCGCCCAAAACGAGGAGTAGGCCTTGGCCGGCGGGACAGGTGTGGAAGTGCTTCAGAATCCTGGGGGGGCAGGGTTAGGAAGCGGCGTTTAACCAATTTGACTCTCATGACGTCATCTCAAGAGGGTGTCTCCTCTGTGCAGGTCAGAAATCTAATAGCAGGTCAACTAATTTGACGTCAGAGTTCGAAAACAAGTCCCTGACATCTCCTTGGCTTTGGAGCAACAAAATTCGAGGCAGCCTGAGATCGCAAGAAACGACTCAAGCGCAAGCCCTCTCAATCTCAATTGCCACACTGAAATACAAAGAAGCATCTTAGGTTTGAATCCCACCTTTCCGGCTGCAGAAAGGGGACGGACCCCAGTCTCCGCCAGGCACCGCTGCTTGGAGTCAAGACGCCCCATCGGTACGCATCGTCTGCGACCGCAAGCATGTACAGGCACTCTTCGCAAACTCCTGCCTCTCGCCGCAATTCTAAGAGCTCCGCTGAGTTCAGAAAGGCGGCCCAGGAACGGCACACCATCTGCAGGACGCCGCGCAAATATGGTTAAGGTTCGGGTTTGATTCTGATTTCTCAACGCGAACGGCTGGTTTAGACTCAAAAGTCATGTTGAAACCGTAAATCAGGTTATGGGTGTGTTGACCAACGCCCAAACTTTGAAGCTGGAGTTGAGGGGCTGACTTTTAAGACTCAAGCTTGAAGCCGACACAGCTTGAGTTGGACTCGGCGTATCAAGTTAGTACTGGTGGGGCCCAGAAGAGTCCCAAGTGTGGCAACTCTGAGTGCCAACCATTCTGGTTGGCGATTGGAAGTATGCTGAGGAGATCTATAGCATGGAGGCTTCTGAGTTCTATCTCACGGACTGTCATTGAAGCCTCGATATATTGAAGCATCGATACAACGCGACTGAACAATCGAGAACCTTTGTCCGACCGATGTAGACTAGTAAAAGCCACTCTGATGCCCCTCAGCACACCAACAACTCATTTACGTCCTCTTTGTAAGAATAACAAATCCAGCAAGCAACGACCCTTTGTAATTAAGTACGCCATTGATTGCCGGTGCCACTACCGATGCCCTGTTGATTGTAATCGCTCACCAGGAATACGACCCGAGAGCTGTGATTTCATAATTGAAGAGCAAACCTGCATGGCTGCGTGGGCCTGTCTGCTGGCTCTGGCCAGGCACCGTCTTGCCAGGTCATTTGGCAGCCCATCCATCAGTGGCTGCTCAACGCCCTGGTTTTGATCATCCTCCTCACGTGACATCGTCGTTCGAGTGCCGCCTCTTTCTCCTGTTCCGGTGGCCATGGACATTTAACAAAGGTCTCACGTTCCTGAGCGGGCCCTGCCAATGCACGTCTGCCGGCTCTTGCGACCCCTCGATTTGAATCAGACTCCGCACCGCAGATTATCAGCTCCCGTAAAAGATTCCGACGCTATCCACTTTATTCTTTAGTCCTTTCATTGTAGAGATGAGCTCCAAGTCGGTCAAAGGAGACCAGTCAGTCCAGGAAACGGCAGAGTGTGAGAAAGAAAGTGGCAGAGAGAGAGACCATGCACCACCCTGAGATCAAAGTGCTGCGGGTTCCCAAAACCTGCCTGGTGCACTTTCGCCAGATGTTCGCCCAATTGAACTTGTTGCAGAAGTTGACGTACGAAGTGATCCTGCTACTACAGTTTAAATTTAATACTACTACTAGAAATGATCCCAGAAATGCAAGACCCACCCGGTTAGGTCGTCGTTAAGAATCAGCCCAGGATGATTCATCACTGACATCCGACGGCTGTTTTTCTATTTTTGCCGAAATTGACGGCTAATGAAAGGAGAACGACAATATTCCGGGTTAACGTTGACCCATGTAGCTGCCAGCGAAGGTGGTCGTGAAGGTTGCAGCATCAATGGCTGTACAACTCCGAGTACAACGTCACAATTTCTCTCCAGCATTCCTTCTTGCCGCCCCAATCATGTCCACGGCTGCTGCTTATCAGGTTTCCTTCTCCGTTGGCAGCACCGCCCTCAGAGGTGCAAGCTCGCGTAGCGCTTGCAAAGCCGCTGCTCTTGCGCCCGTTGCCTCTCTTTGCCCTTTGCAGGCTGAGAGCAACCGCTTGGTTGCGAGGAGCACACAACTTTCATCGTCGTTTGTTTCGTCCAAGGAGGATCTGAGGGCTGAGTTTAGACTGCAGCAGTCTGCCCAGAGACGGCACTTTAGCAACAGGGTGGGAGTGAAGACTGCACTCACCATGGCCGCCAGCAGTGCCTATGACTTCTCGGTGAAGGACATTGATGGCAACGAGACGGACCTGTCAAAGTTCAAGGTAAGACCAAAGACAAGCGCCCAGGCAAGGATCTGTTGGTCATTCTGGATGTTGCAAGCAAGAATGAATGCATGGATGCAATTGTCTTTATTCAGAGACCAAAAGATTCAATAAGATGTGGTTCCATTTGTATGCAGCATCATAAGTGCTTTAGGCAACCTGATTGCGAGCCTAATGTCATCGATCAGAAAGGACAAGGCCAAACTTGATTGGGCAGGTTAATTCCATTACTTTCTGGTTGGATGAATCGAGTACTCCAAGCTTCATTCATGATTTCTCCGTCCTGAGAGCTTCCCGCTCTTTTCCTGTACTCTCACAGACGAGGGTGCGACTTTCAAACAATCATTTCGCCAAAATGTTGCCCTTGGTTTTCACCCCAACAATGCTGCTTCGGAGGCCCTCCCCTTTACTTTGAGTTGTGCATTAATCCGATCATCATTTACTTGGAGAGCTTGGAAACTACTAGTTATCAAGCTTGCGGACAACATTCTGAATTAGAGCAACTTGAGGAGCACTGAATTCAACTTCCGTGAGCAAGTTCTAGATGGGTATGGTCGGCACTTAGAGCAGGGGCATTGTCATTCCTCCTGCTTCTGTCGCAGGTAGACACTCTTCTCTTGTGTGATGTTGTGCCTGTGGAATGGCAGGGTTTGATGGCAAGATTGTGACAATCATACGTGTGATACACTCTACTCAGCTGGAACCCAAAAGCTTCTGCCATCATTGGTCTGCCTAAGCACAGCCACATTGTTTGTGACCAGCTGTTTACTTTGTGGTCATGTTTCTTTCCCCAAGTTTCACACTGCCAATTAAAAGCCATACAGGGGCCAGCCAGCAGGACAGTAGGCCGCAAATGGAGCTGCTTTTCGAATGGAGAACGCTTGAGTACTGGTGGTTATCTGACATTGACGCACCGGTAGTTTCCTGTGTGCAGGGGAAGGTTTCATTGATCGTGAACGTCGCCTCCGCATGCGGTCTCACCAAGCAAAACTATCAGGTAAGTTTCCGTCTTTGTTCACTCTGCGCAGTACTTGCGTGGATTTTAACCAATTGGTCTCTTCAATCACTCGAAGCTGTATATGGATATATTGCTGGAGTCTTTCCATGCCCCTTAAAGGCTTGGCCCGCAACATGAAAGAAGGCTTAAAGCGGTCCACTTTTGATCCAACACTGTCTGCTTAAAAGTAGCAGGCATGGGACATACTCATAAGTCGTAGACTGGCCATTGACGTTGCAAAGGGAACAGTGCCACTTGGACTGTATATCATAAGTTGAAGTAAAATTGCTAAACCGCTTGAGAACAAAGTATTCGTTGAGCACGTTTCAAGCCTATTTTGGAGTATGTCTCCAGACGAAGTGCCCCTTTAGTGCGGAGCAGGGTACGCACTTTTGGTGTCTTTGATAGCTGGTGTCAATTGATAGCTGCCAGCGGGTTGCCCTTGAAGCTGCTTCTTGGAAACTCTTTCAGAATCTGCCACCTCTTGGTGCGACTTGGAGGAGGCTCGGCGCGATGTTACTGAGGTTCGGCTTCTTTCACTGTGGGCCAAGTCACCATCAATTTTGCTTCTGCAACTTCAGAGATTCACCAAAGCAAAGATGACATTTTGAGCAGGAACGCCAGTTTTAACTGGGTTGCTTGTTTACAGGAGTTGACGACGGTTTATGACAAGCTCAAGGAAAAGGACTTCGAAGTGCTCGCCTTCCCGTGCAATCAGTTTGGGGGCCAAGAGCCCGGCTCTGCTGAAGAGATCAAGAAATTTGCAGGGGACAAGTATAAGGCAACTTATCCTCTATTCTCTAAGGTTGACGTCAATGGGGCCAAGGCCGAGCCCTTGTTTCAGTACTTGAAGAAGGAGGCTGGGGGTGGAGATATTGCGTGGAACTTTGGCAAATTTTTGGTTGACAAGGACGGGAAAGTTGTCAAGAGATTCGATCCCAGGACGAATCCATCGGCCATAGAGCAGGAGATTGAGAAGATCTTGTAGGGCATGGAAAGGAGGACAACGCCGTCGTCACTTTCTATATGCCATTTTATCATCTACTGAATGCACCTTTGTTGGATGTATGGGGTAATCCAAGGTAACTCGAGCCATGTAAATAACCGCATGTAAAGCCGGCCCAACTTTTTATCACGCTAAGCTTGGCGCTATCCATGCTGTATAAACCGGGAGCTTCTATCATGACCTTCAACAAGCATGATGGAAATTGCTTTTGAAATTGAATTAACTTATGCCATGCTGAGCCATGTTGCAACATCATTCGAAGACAGTGAGAAGAGCAACGTCTCATATGAATGGAGGTAGAGGTGTCACGAAAAAAGAGAGCAGGGCTGCCATGCAGTGCCAGAGTGATGTACTGTAATCAGCTAAATCAAATACTGCACGATTGATCCACTAAAATCTCTTTTTTCCAAAGGACAATTCCACAGGTGACAGGTCTTATGAAGGAGCTTCTAGTTGAATCGGGCGCTTGATGTCTACTCTGGGCCATGTACAAGGTAAATTAGGTGTCCCTGACGTCACTGCTCCTCGATCAAGTCAGAACTTGGAAGTCAGGACTATAAAGTAGCACAAGCCAGATACATTATACTGTTACATACAAGCATTCCAATCTCATGCAAGTAGATGCATCTTCTCGGCACGAGATAATCCGCTCTCAGTGCCTTCCTGTCCCCAAAGCGATACAATTTGCACATGTGAGAGCAGAGCAATCAGAACTTCAGAAGTCAGGCATGCAGGCCCGGGGGGTCCATGCAGTGACGTCATAGGCATTGGCACCGCGGGGTCGATCCGGTATCCTGTCGTGACGTATACTCTGCCTGCGCCGTTGTCAGAGCTAGGGTGATATCATCATCATCTGATGCTGCTTGACGTCAAGCTAAGCGTCATCCCGTACAAATATCCGAATAAAGTGGAACAAAATCCAATTTTCAGTAAATTTCGCACGCTACGGTTCATCTCTGTCCACACCCGTATCCACCATAATGATGACCATATCCACTGAAAGTTTATTCAGCAAGGTCCCACGACATGACCCGTTGCAATTTCTCAAGAGAGGTTGGCCACCTCTTCCGAATTCTGGGGACAGGGTCCCTGGACTCTGGAGTCCGGAGCAGAGCAAACCCTTGTCACAGTGACAAGATACTGGCAACGCTCGCTTGCACTAAAAGCAGCTTGCACTAAGATACACAAGTCCCGGGCACCCAAACTAAAAACCCTAACCAAATAAATCACGCGCTCCGCACCCGCACCCACCCTAACCACCAAACTAACCCTACCCGTCCCCCGGGTGCTTATCTTAATGCAAGCTGCTCTTAGTGCAAGCTAGCGTTGCCGGAACGTTGTCACAGATGCCGTACGTACCTATTTCATGCAGGTACGCAGAGAGTCTACTAGGTAGAGTCTAGACTCTAGAGTCTACTATCGGGAGGAAAGAATCGTAAATAGAAGGGAGTGTGAACAAGAAAATTTGTGACAATCGTCACAAAGCTCTACTTCGTAAACACTGAGGGTATTCACACTCTGGAA